CAGCAAGCTGCTGCCGCCGCCGCCGCTGCAGCCGCCCAAGCTCAAGGACAGGGGCCCCATCCTGGGCCTCTTCCACCAGGCATGCACCCTGGAGGGCCCCCACCACATCACGGAGGACCTCCTTCCCATCACGGGCCACCCACGCCCCACCACGGAGGGCCTCCACCTGGCGCTGCCATGCACCCTGGCTACCCCCCAATGGGTCACCACTCCATGGCCCCCCACCACCCAGGACAGACAGGTGAGACAGAAACAGCTGGTAGGGAGTGCAAATGTGAGTGAACAATGAAGTGCTGTTGTAAAACGGTACCACAATGTGTACACGCGACTGTTGTCAGTGAGTCTCTGGTCTCAGATTTAATGAATGTTGTTTTAATTCACTGCTCACACATGTGTGTAACTGTTCCTGCTGTGTAAGCTCGAGTGATTTCAGTGTTTAAGTGATGGGAACAAAATCCACAGGACTGCATTATGAAATCCAGCTGATGTTGATAAGACTTTAGCACTTTTAAAGTTACAGATGTTTCAGTACGAAGTAGCTATACTGTAGTTTCTGTCTCCCTCAGCCTCATCACACAGTCTCGGACTGTGGGAACAGGATGAGTGAAGGTGTTAATGGGAAAGTGAAGAGGACAGAGGTGTAGGAAAGGTTACAAGGGTTTAATGACAAATGTTTGCTTCTGGTTTCAAACAGCTCCTGTAGCTTGTGTTAAAACTGCGATCACCTGCTCAGATGAGACTCCTGCTGCTCATCCGACATCTGATTTTTATCCCCTCTCTACTTTCCACTGCAGGACCAATGGGACCAGGTCAGCCAATGCCTGGACGTATGATCCCTGGCCCACCCTCAGCCGGTCCCTCTCCTGGTAGCATGCCTCCCATGATTCCCCCACGTCACCCTGGGGCTCCCAATGGCATGTGTGAGTACGAATATCCTTCTGCCACTCTCTCTTTTTTTGTTTGCACATAGATTATTAGGCAAATTCAGTGTGATTTATTTCTGCTGTGGTTTACACCATTTACACCAGTGTATTTTTAGGTCAGGGGATGGATGTTACTGGAGTCCAGTATTTACAACATGGCTTTAAAAAAGGTTTCTGGGAATCTGAATGTTGCTGGGAGCCAAGAGCTGACACTGGTATTTCCTTTGAATGTCGGCTGCAACTAAATGTTTGGATCAGTGCTGCTTATAAGCATCACATCACACACCAGGCAGTTTGCAGTGATTTCTGGAACCTGAGCCTGCAGCCAAACAATGATTTAAATCTGGCAGCAGCATAAGTAAATCAATTTAATAAATACTTCTTTGGACAGATGTTGTGAGTTTCCACCTGCACTGTAGTTGTGATGTGATCAGTCACCTAAGAATCATGTTGATAACATAGCAACCAGATTTAAAGCTCAGAATAAATTCCTACTTAAAATATTACAAGGCTGGACCAGGAGTCTCCAGCAAGAGAGGAGAAAAAATGTATAATGAGGAGAGACTGACTTTTTCTTTACGGCTCCTAACTGACAAATTCATAAGGTCAAACACAGTAATATAAAATGGCTGTATGCTTGGTGTTTACTGGTGCTTGGTAAATCACCTCCTGACCCTTGAGATTTACCTTGGAGCCCTCTGGCGTGGTCCAGACTCCAGACCCTCAGGTTGGGAACCATTGCCAAGACATATCTATCCTAAGAAGCACTTCTTCCTCTAAAATGAGCATCTTCCCTCTTCCCAGACCCCGGCCCACCACCTACACAGCCTGAAGCAATGCCTCCGGCTCCTGTGGGTCCTCCAGCACCCCCGAGTGGACGAGTGGCTGACAACTAAGACCTACACACACACACACACACACACACACACATACACACAAGAGCACACAAACACACCAGACTAACTCTTTATCTGAACCTCAGTCCCCTTTTTGATGGCCTTTGCTACTGGCTCAATATTTTTCCTTCAACATTCAAATTACCATAAACCTAATCACAGGACACACACATACTTGTACTTCTATTTTTGTGAGGACACCCATTGACTTAATGCATTCCCTAGGCCCTTACCCTAAGCCTAATTATAACCTGAACCCTAAAACCATGTCTTAACCCTCAGAAAGCTGTTTTAGAAAACTACTTTCCAAAAATGTAGCAAAAAATACTTTTTTGGTCCTCACAATATAGCAAGTACAAGAACACACGCACTCAGGGTTCAGTTCCAGGGGTAACCTAGTCTTTCACACACAAACATGCATCCAGACTTCCTCTCAGGGCTCAGCAGCAAGGGTCGTCTAGTAATGAACAATATTTTCTGCTCTGTTGGTCCAGATGGGAGCTGGAGAAAGTGACTGTGTTCCTTTTCCCTCTTTCCAGTGCTGTTTTAAATGACACTGTAACCCCCCTCCCGTCTCTTGTTTGGTGCTGCTTTCTCCAAGTAAACATTAGGGGGAGCTTGTGAGACCAGAGGGCCCATAAGACATGCAGGGGTTTTGTGTGTGTGTGTGCTGAGCATTAACACAAACACAATTAATGCAGATGATTCAGACATTAATATGAATAAAACACACACGGGAGCCAGTCTGTCCTCACTCTTGTCGTGTCGAGTATCTACCTCTCGCTCCTCTTTAAATGATACACTGTAGATCTGTGTGTTTGTCTGTGAATGTGTGTGTTCAAGACAGAGGGGTGTTCGATGGCAGTGCACTTGGCCTCCTCTAACCAGTTTGTGCCGCCTCTGTGTTTCTTTGTCACATTGGCATTAATGACCATAGTTGAGATGGAGGAATATGAGAAATGCGGCAGGTTGATAGACAAAAAAATGTATCTAGACGTGTATTTTAAGACATGTTGAGGATGCTTCTCTCTCTATTACCAAAAGACATCAAGCATAAAAGTTGCGGAAGCAGTTTTCTGATCTGTTTCACCAGTGTGTTTACACATTGACGAAAGGGTCTCAGATCTCATTACATGAGATGCACAAACTGGAGCTTGGTTAAAGCATCAGTGGCAGGACAGAGCACTAAACAGGCATCCCTCCTCCTGCCCCACACCACCCGCAGCACTAACACACAGAGATGTAAGCTAAACTGATGCTCACACTGGAGGCGTCATGCACACTGACCTGGGCAGACCACACCACAGCACTGTATAACCACACACAGTCACCAAACCTCCTGCTGACCTTCACACAGCCGTCGCAGAGAGGGAGACGCTGTGATGCGGCTCAACAGAAACAGCAGAATATGAGCAACAACTCTTCCTCAGCACGGTGGGCTTCTAGATGCTGTTAGGTGCTGATACTGTAGCGAATATACCTTGTCTCCCCCCTCAAAAACACCTAGCGCTGCCTACCTCGCTAACCCCACCTCACACACACCTCAGCACCCTGCTAGTTTTGCTTTTTAGCCACCAGTCAGTAAAATTTAGCAATATTCTCATTCCTGTGTATTAACCAATTTGTGGTCTGTAAAATGAAAAATAATGGGCAAGTTCAAGGCTCAGTTCTCACATCCTCTGTGCTGTGATGTTGCAGTAAATAAAAGGTGTGTAAATAAGGGGAACAACCACTGAACATTTATGTACCAGCTGAAACAATTGGCAGTTGATTGCTCAGTGGACAAGAACTTAAACTGTTTACTAGTTTAGTCATCTGCATTTTCATTGGCGGTTTATTCTCTGGTTTTAGTGTTTGAGATATCAATGTTTGCTTGTTTTAATTGTTCGAGTGTCTTTGGGCTTTGAACTCTTGGTCAGACGAAACACGACATCATAAAGGCGGGTTTAGAACATTTCTATTGACTGATCAATTAATGATGCTGGTTCTCAACCCCTGGAAAAGAAGCTGGACAAACAGATCTCACTAGAAGATCCACTAGTAGCTGTTCTGGAGCTTTTGATTGTACAAACTGATCTTCCTTAGCAGATGGAGCTTTCCCAGATGTTCTTCTCCCCCTTATGAGCATTATAACGGCTTTTCACACTCAGACCTTCTCATCTGCTGAGGAACATCTGCTGTCACACAATAGAAAGCTTCAGAGCTTCCTTTACAGTTTTTAAACCAAAAGGCCCCAACGTCCCTAAAATGTGCAGAAGAAAAGTAAATAATATAGTGCACGACATCTGAGGAAGAACCGGTGATGCAGGTGAAAGCGCCTGATGTGATTACACAGCTGTTTGCCAACTTATCAATCACTATTTTCAGCCCTATACTTCTGTTAATAACAATTTATAGTTTGGTTCAGTTGAACATTTGACTTGAATTAGCTTCGTACATTACATATATGGTCCTCAACTTTAACATGCATGTTAGGTTCAGATAGAGGAGAAGACAGACACAGGTTAATGATAAGCTCGAATACGATCACCTCAATGCGAAGTCTTAAACCACTCTCCTCCCCCTTCGCTAGCACTGTTAGTACCTCTGCTACCTCTTCCTTGTTCATCTGTTAGCTACCTCTTCTAGAAATCTTCCTCTCGCTGCCTGCTACCTCTCTGCGCACCCTTCGCTACCTCTCGTTCCTTTCTGTTTATTTCACCTTTCAGCTTTTCTTTTTCCCGCCCACATGACTGCTGCATCACTGACTGTTGCCCTATTCTCACAGTCTGTAGGAAGAAAACACCAACATGCATATGAACAATCCCTGACTGTCACTCTCCTTCACCGCACACTTCTTTCCCATTCACCATTTTACCAGGCTTGTTGTAATATCACTTCTATATGACGGGAATCCCCTTACATATGTTATCTTTAATTGATACCTTTTTGTGTTAATGGTAATGTATTTTTAAGGAGAAGTTTTGTGTAGATGGACGTTTTCTCAGTTCTTTGTAGCATTTGTTTGCTTTTTTATTTTGTATGGGGTCTGTTGGTATGTGGACCTAGACACTGTTGAATAAACTGTTTTGTATGAGGTCGATGTCTCTGTTTTTGGATACGTTGTCCACGCGTCCAAACCTCAACCAGCCAACATCTCACAA